GGAGTTGAAAATCATGATACCCGAGAAATGATGAGTAGGATTTAGTTGAGTTTCCGGCGAGAAAATGCCAAGAAGCAACTGTAAGCCGACTTATAATTTGTTTAACACACGGTGCTGATAAAATATTTATTGTTTTATTGTATTGATAGGTTTTAAAGTGCCCATAAGTATACGTCACGCAAATTAGAGCATTTATTAGTAGGTGACTAGGTGTTTTGCGTCTTCTCGGCCCACAGTGAAGAAACAAATCACTTGCATAAAATAAACATCTTCTGTTTCACATGAGGCTAGAGTCGTGTGCACGACGTCATTATCCCTCGACCTCAATAAATCGCAATAAAAACTCGCTGTGCTCAAGAGTTGTCTGCGGAGGTGAATAATTACTATCATGATCTATTGAAAATAATTCAAGAGTTTTGATTGGCTAGGAGCTCTCGGTGAAATCGTCAAATTCCCTCGGTAGCTACCCAAATTTGGAGTTATGACATCACCGTAGAATATTGAAAACAAATATACCACGTTTGACGTAATTTCATGATATTTTTAAAAAACAATGCAATACGCTATGACGTCCAATTTATGCGGCATATATGTGCCAAAAGCTGGAAAATACAAATGGCTTCCTCAAAGGAAAGGTTCGCCGACATTTTTTGTGTATTCCAACAAATAAGTAATAAAACAATTATTGAATTCGGTTCTCCCAGGATATGAGGAATTATTAAGACCTCGATTTGTGTTATCTGCCTCACCCTTCGATTTGTGTTATCTGCCTCAGCCTTCGGCTTCTGAAGATAACACAAACCTCGGTCTTAATAATTCCTCATATCCTACTCGACCTCATTCAATTGTTTAATATTATTTCCTTTCAAAATGAACGAAAAACATATAGCAGTTGGGAAATTGGAAAACAATTTAGCATGTTGCTCAAACTGTTCAAAAGTCTTGACAAACTTTGGCGCTTTTATGTATTCATACTGAAAATTTTAACTATAGATACATGCAAAGATGGGTCTAGGTTGAAAAAAATCGCGCCAATATCTTGTCATTATGAATAATTTATATTTAGCGATGGACAAAGACTGGTGTCTATGGCCGCGTTCACTCGAGGCTGGATGAATTCAGAACCTCAAATTCGTCGGGTTTCGTCTTGCGCTCTCGCGGGACGCATGAAAGCGGACGATTTCCAGCACAGCTAACTGGTAGAATTCAATACAAAATAAAATTAGGTTTTCGTTTTTGCACTGGAATGGCTCCTAAATTAGACGGCGCCATGTGAACAGCGGAACCTGTCCTTTTCAAGACCATTTTGCACGGTAGAGAATTAGGATTGAGACTGATTGAGCTAATCTGCGCGCGAGTACGTAAATACTTTCGGAGCTACAATTCAACCGGTTCGGTGTGAACAGTTATTGTCTCGTATAATTATTCCTATTCCGCGTAGACGTGTAGAACCGGACGAATTTGAATACGGTGGCGCAGGCACACAGAAGGTCGACTCGGCCTAAAAAGTGTAACCGCTGCCACGATATGATTCGTCATCAAAATACTGACGCCAAGGTCCTAGCCAAGGAGCCTTTCAGATTTGGCCGGGTATTTTTTCACCCGGCCCGCTCTGAAACGCAATTGTCCGCCGTGAAATGCAACTGCCTACTATACGATGTTCGCGTCAGAAACCGAGGAGTGAAACAATATTATTAAACTAAAAAATCTCCCCAGAAAGTTTGAAAGAATATGATTCTGTTACCTGGCTCCTACCTTAGCGCTTTGGTTTCCTACCCCGTTGCATGAATAGGGCGCGGGATGACACTCGTGGGAGGGGGGAGGGGGAGGATGAAAATCTACGCAAAAGCAACGCGAGCCATAGTATCAACAGTTACGAGGCAGTATTGTTATAGTAAGTTTGTTTTTCTAAGTATTTTGTGATAAAATATTTATAGTTTTCACTAAATGATGAACATTATGCTAACAGCTTTTAAGTGGTTATGAATTTCACGAAATTATAGGCCACATCTGGCACAAATGCACGATATACAAATCTCGAAGATATCCATGGATATTTGTATTACCATGCATGCAATATTACATCTATGCAAGAAAGCTGGGGAAAAATCTATGCGATTTATTAATAAGCCGTTGCAATCAATTACCACGCTCAATCCTCGTAAAAAACCTTGACTCACAATACGTCATAAATGATCATATAATTCGGCTTTTCAAATTCGTGCACTTTATATATATATATATATAAAAAGCAACAAAAAAACGAAATGATATTTGGCTAAAAGCATTTAAATTTCTTATGGCAATGAATAAAAAAAGTTTAAATGAATGTTTACGAGTCCCTCTCGCTTTGTTTAAAGCAAAAATCCTTTGTCCTTTGTATAAAATACGACATGTTTTTCGTCTTTTGGCAATCTTGACAATTGCCAACTTATATAGTGCGGCAACGGTTCATGCAAATTAATTTTGTATAAAGGTTCAAATAATTCGTACAACTATCAAGTCCTCAATTTCAGTTTGGACTCTTTGAAACATTTGATTCCACTGTGAATCAATTAATGTACATTGTGCATACGATTTATCACGCACTTGAACAAGGGAAAGAAGTTCGGATGGTATTTCTCGACATCAGTAAAGCTTTTGATAAAGTATGGCACAAAGGACTTTTATACAAACTTGAAGTAATTGGTATTCAGGATCCACTGCTATGTTGGCTTAAAAGTTATTTATCAAATCGAAAACAACGAGTTGTGATTGAAGGCCAGTCTTCTAAGTGGGAAACTATAAAAGCGGGTGTTCCCCAGGCTTCTGTCCTTGGCCCTTTGCTATTTTTTATATATATCAATGACATAACTAAAAATCTTCAGTCAGATTGTTTTTTGTATGCGGATGACACATCAATCCTTGATATTGTTGATGTACCTAATATGTCCTCGATAAAGTTGAATAATGATCTTACTTCAATTAAGGATTGGGCATCCCAATGGTTAGTTACAATGAACCCAACTAAGACCGAATCGATTATTTTTTCAGCCAAAAGGATTAAGCCATATCATGCTGATTTATTTTACGAAGGTAAAAAATTGCTATGGTTTCACAGTATACCCACCTCGGCGTCACACTATCTAGTACTTTATCATGGAAAGCTCATATTTTGAAAGTATATGAAAAGGCATGCCAGAGGTTAAATATGCTTAAAGGATTAAAATATAAATTAAATAGGAAAACTTTAAACACATTATATAAATCTCTTGTTCGTCCCGTGATGGAATATGTTGATGTATTGTGGGACGGTTGCATGGACGGTGAGAGCGATCTTCTCGAATTTGTCCAATATGAATCTGCTAAAATCGTAACGGGTACCATGAAGGGCACCAGTAAAAAAATCTAATGAAAGAAACAGGCTGGGAACATATGAAGCTTAGACGTTGTATACATAAATTATTTTTTTATTTTAAGATCGTTAACAATCTTGTTCCAAATTATTTAAAAGAATTATTGCCTTCTCAGGTGCTCGAGCGAACTCATTATTCTGTGAGATCGCAATCTGATTTTACATTATTTCCAGTGCGCACTGAGCGTTTTAAAAAGTCTTTCTTTCCATCTGCTACCAAACTGTAGAATGGGCTAGATACATCTGTACGTAATCTTCCGTCAATTTCTCGTTTCAAAAAAGTTTTGTTAGACCTTTTCAATCTTCAACCGAGTCCAACCCTATTTAATTATTCTCTTGATAGATATTCATCTATCATTCATACTCGAATACGTTTGGACGCTTGTGCATTAAATTATTATTTTTTTAAAATTGGTAGTAAATCATCTCCTAAACGTACTTGTGGTTTTGAAATTGAAACAATTAATCATTATTTTTTATATTGTCCGATTCTTGCTGCTCAAAGATTGAAGCTGCTCACCTCTGTTGCTCGCATTTTTGCTGATAGATGGCTTGCATTGTCCAATTCACAAATAATAAAACTTTTTTTGTTTGGATCCTCATTACATTCTGGGGATGAAAATTTTCAAATCTTTTACCACGTCCAAAATTTTATAAAAGAAACAAAACGTTTCCATACTCAGGAGATCTAAATCTGTTTGCAGTTCATCTTTCAGTATTTCCTTGTGTGTTATTCTTCTACATAGCTACTGATTGTATTATTGTCTAATCGATTTGTGTGTGTGTGTGATTTGTAAGTATGTAAATGTGAAGTGAGCCCCTAGATGAGCAACCAGTAGCCAGGGCCCTCGGAGCGTATTAGAGAGTGGGGGGCTAAATCATCAATAAAACCGCCAAGGAAAATGTTCAATTTTCTATTACCTTAAACGCTATTTCCTGCATTTTTGGAGGAACTTTAGCAAAAAATCTCCAAGACCATCGTCATAAAAAGTAACAAAATTTAGACCTTTTACAAACTTCTAAGCAATCCTTTTACTAGGCTACTTTATAAACTAAGAGTATCTTAACAATTTTAAGCCCTCCTTAAAAAACTTAACACAACAAAAATAAAAATCTTTATGAACAAGCTTTTTGATATTGATTTTGAAACAAACGTAAGCGATAAAATTTGTTGTTTATAAATTGATTTGTTGTTTACAAATTCAAAAATAAAGGCAGTTTCAACTCCATTGCGGAAACTTTGCAAAAACCATATGAATATAAATAATAATTTCGTTTCGGAGCACGTGGCTGTGTTGAAGGGAACTTCATGTAAGGTACACATAATGGGGTGCTTAGCCTTTATTCATTTTAATTAGATGCGAAAGTTAAAAATGCCTAGAAAAGGTTTAATTAATTTAGAAAGTTTCATTTAGATTTCTATTTTAATAATTTTGGCTGACAAAAAAAAACTCATGAAGGTCTCAAAAGATATAAACGTTTGAACTTTGGCACAAATAGTGCTGCTGAGATATTTCAAAATGCCGTTCACACCACATTCCAAGATATTGACGGTTGTATAAATATAAGGGACGACATACCAGTTTTTGCCAAAACACAACATGACATGACATTAGAATCTGTTCTACAGCGTGCTAATGAAAAGAATTTAAGATTCAATGGTGACAAATGTGAATTTGATAAACCAAGCATCACGTTTTATGGTCATGTTTTCTCGAAGCAGGGTATATCCCCATGTCCTAAAAAGATCGAAGCGATCAAGTCTCTCAAACCTCCAGCGAATGTTTCTGAACTTCGTAGCTATTTAGGAATGGTAACATATTGCGGGAGATTTATCCAAGATCTTGCAACACTGACTGCCCCATTACGTAAACTTACAAAGAAGGACATAAAATATGAATGGAAAGAATCACAACAACATGCGTTTGATACATTACAAGGAAGATTGAACGAGAAAACCACTTTATCATACTTTGACCCATCAAAAGACACCAAGCTCATTGTAGATGCCTCTCCAACTGGTCTAGCGGCAATATTAATACAAAATACCCCCAGCCAACATGACGAAACTGTCGTTGCATATGGCAGTCATGTTCTTACAGAAGTAGAACAAAGATATAGTCCGACAGAACGCGAGGCATTGGCAATTGTTTTTGGCTGCGAAAATTTTCGTTTATTTCTCTATGGAATTTATTTCACAATCTATACAGACCATAAACCATTAGTATCGATTTTTCAGAATCCAAATTCACATTGCCCTGCACGACTAGAACGCTAGCGTTTACGCCTACAGTCGTACAATTTCCAAATTCACTATCGCCCTGGCCACGATAACCCATCCGATTACATGTCAAGACACCCAATGAATACGACCTCAATGACATCACAAGACAGTGAAAACTCTGAATATTATATTCAGTTCATTGCGGAATCAACAACCCCAAAACAATGACCCTTCAACAAATCAGAGAAGAAACACAAAATGACCCAACTTTGCAACATGCTGCACACATAATACAGAAAAACTTATGGCATACGTTAGACAACAAAACTTTTTCCAAAGACATTGATATTCGTGAACTAATGTTACTCCGTAATGTCAAAGATGAATTAACTGTATCTAATGATAAAAACATCATTTTACGAGACACACGCATTGTTATTCCAAAAAGCTTGCGAGCAGATGCCATACGTTTAGCCCATGTTAACCACCAAAGCATAGTTAAAACGAAGAGCCTAATGCGAGAAAAAGTTTGGTTCCCCTTAATTGATTCACTTGTCAAATCTGCAATCGACTGCAAACCACTGGACGTCCAAAACCACCACAACCTCTGTTAATGCGCGAAATACCCAAGGAGAACTTTGACACTGTATACATTGATTTTTTGGGTCCGTTACCAAGTGGAGAAACACTCTTTGTCCTAATAGATGGACGCTCCCGACATCCGGTAACAAAAATTATGAAGAAAACGGATGCTTCTCACCTAATTCCATGTTTAGACGAGATCTTTGCCACATTTGGATTACCAAAAAAAGTTATCTCGGACAATGGTCCACCGTTTCAGAGCAAAGAAATAAAGAAATTCATGGATGACAATGGCATTCAACACAAAACAATCACTCCATTATGGCCACAAGCAAATTCATGAAACCACTGATGAAGGGCATTCGTACTGCTCATCTGCAAAAGCAAAACTGCACCATGCAGGAATTCTTATTTCGCGCACCATGCAGGAATTCTTATTAAATTACAGAGCTACTCCTCATACCACAACTCAAGTTGCACCGGCCACACTCATGTTCGGTAGGAACACCCGCACAAGATTACCTCAGACTGATACTAAAACCGGCAAGAATGCCCTTGATCATTCCGTCGAACAACGCGATAAAGAACAACGACAACGCATGAAAGAATATGCAGATCGACGGAGACAAAGTAAGACGACAACCATGAACATTGGTGATTATGTACTCGTAAAGCAACAAAAGCACAACAAATCTACCCCGAATTTTGATTCCAAACCACTACGAATAACCAAAGTAAAAGGAACGATGATTACTGCATAAAGACCAGGATTCGCTATTACTAGAAACCAATCGTTTTTCAAACCTATTAAAACAACTGGGCTGCCTTCTGAAGATGAGGAGGAAATGGAAGATAATGATGAACGTGAAGAACAACGTGATATTAGAGACAATGAAAATAACAACAATCACAACCGAGATAAACAACAAAATCTGGAACGACAATATCCAAGGAGAGAACGAAGAAGGCCGAACTATTATCATTAAGCCTTATTGTAAATAGAAAGGGCTGACGGTGACAGTCATATATATTGTTGGACAATCAACAATGTGTCTTAGCATTCACATTCTGTTTTGTTAAATACCAACACAAAAATATAGTGGTAGATTATTAACAACGAACTGAAATTGTGAAAAACTCTGAGAAAAGGAGGGATGTAGTGTCTAGCATAATTAGCATAATTAGCATAATGAATATTAATTATGGACCACGAGGAAGTACGCAAGATGGCGATATAGATGCAACTGTAAGATATGTTCTGTTAGAGATATTAAAGAAAGCATAGATAACAATGTTATAGACAACATTATAGCGGCATTCCTTTGAACTCCATAGGGGGTCTTTCACTATTAAAATGGCGGCCGAATGTATGCTAGCAAAGTCACGTGACCGGAAATGCACGCCGAAAATCACATTCCGGATGTGAGAAACGGTAGCTACAACATTATAGGTTAAAATCGGAATATGCCGTTGTATATTTTATTATAGGTTAAAATACTTATTGTAGGTTAATAAATACGCTAATATATTATAGGTTAAATTCGGCAAAAAATGACCATCCGGTCATGGGTTGGATCAAACCTCCGTAATCATAAAAAATATGTTCTAAAACGCGAACTGGATTTGTAAAACGCAAATTCAAAATTTGTAAAACGCTGACTCAAAATTTGTAAAACGCGGACTCGAAATTTGTAAAACAACTAATGTCATTGTATTATATACTATTTTATGTCGTTGAATTCCTGCAATATAACCTGTCGAGGTTTCTATTAATCACTCGAGAGACTTATCAATTGCATTATATATCAGATCTCATCGACTATTTTTAATTAGTGGTATTTAATTTTAGAAACCTAACGAAACAAAACAATAAAAAGAAGACAGGAAATGTACTTTTAAGCGAGCGCTATTTTTACAAACCAGTCTCCGCCTTTTTACAAGTCCAGCGATCCAATCCGCATTTTACAACATGCCTGGAAAATCTCATCCCGCTCTCGGCTCATATGAACAGGCTGTTGGAGGTCAGGCAAACCGCAAATAGTCTAGTATTTTTGGGGCGAGCCTGAGCCAGCCCCCACAGTTTGGTGGCTCATCGAGCTCAAGCGCAATGCATTATGGTGCGTTCGTACGTACACGGAACTTTTCCTACAGTGATTTAAATCCTACTGGCTTTTCGCCTCGCACCGGCTATTTTGAGATTTTTCAGTCTTTATACAGTGATTTACAGTAAATTTTAAGGGCCTTTCGCCTCTCACCGGCCGACAATTTTTCATGCGACATGCGATGAAATATATTCTTCATGCCGAATAACAAATGGAAATTGGAATGGTCAGTATTATTTACAGTGGTCAGTATTATTAAGCCCATCGCAATTTTACTTTACTCGAGTGAGATGCGGTTCAAATTCTGATACAAAGCCCGATTTGATTTGTCATTTGGGCTGAATATTACGGTGGCCCAGACGCGACAGCACAAAAACAGTTTTTGTATTTTTTGATTTTTGTATTTTTTGATTTTTTGGTTTTTTGATTTTTGTATTTTTTGATTTTTTGATTTTTGTATTTTTTGATTTTTTGATTTTTGTATTTTTTGATTTTTTGATTTTTTGATTTTTGTATTTTTTGATTTTTTGATTTTTTGATTTTTTGATTTTTTGATTTTTTGATTTTTTGATTGTTGTATTTTTTGATTTTTTGATTTTTGTATTTTTGTATTTTTTGATTTTTCGATTTTTCGATTTTTTTATTGTTTTTTTTTTATTCAGTATATATATATACATACTGTAGCACTCGAATGAGCGGGCAAGGTTACTGATAATTGGAAAATATAACATGATCGAAGCTGTGTAACACAAAATTAAGGTTAAGGGTTAGGGCCGCGAATTTGGCATAAATCATGTTGATAAATTTGGACGCGTTTAACAATTTACTCATATAGTAAATTCAAATGTGGAGCTCATGCTGTAAATTACACTGTACGTATAATCTTGATAAAAAACTTTTCACGACATATGGCGCCGGACAAATGGTTCATTTGGTGGCGGAAAAAATTTTGCGGACACAAAATCGTTTATTTTTTTCCGACAATTTTCTTAATTTTTTGAGATTTTTAGATGTATCATCTGGGTCCTGGGATTTATATTCTGAGTTCATCAATCTTGCATCAATAAGTTTTAAGGATCCCTTGTTCTGCGAGCCCCGCCCGAGATAAAGTTCCCCTCTGCCTCTCTCTCGGCGATCCTGCATGCAGTAGATGTAAATTGATAACGAAAGATTCATCTGACAGGAATCGAACCTGTGGGTAAAGATAAAGATTTTTGGGAATATGACGCTGGAAATCTCAATGTGCGCTTGGGATTTTTCTTGAAATTTGTGCTTGAAATTTCCATCCTACATAAATCCTTCAATCTGTTCATATCTTATATAATGGCATCACCTGGACTAAATACTGTATATAAACAAGAACTTGTGCTTGGAGCTCGACAACTGAACTCTATAACTCAGTTGGTTAGAGCACTGCAACGGAATTGCGGGTCGTAGGTTCGATTCCTGCTATAGTTCTATTTTCAGCAGCTGGTTATAGGTCTAAATTAAATATATATGAATCTTCCACTCGAAATGCTCATCTACATAAGGCGTTCAATCTCGGGATCAAGTGGTCTTAGAATCAGGGGCGTAGGAAGAGGGGGGCAGAGGGAGCACGTCCCCCCTCCCAAATTGTTTCAAAGGACCAAACGTGTCCCTTTTTGTGATGAAAAGTGCCCTTTTTGTACAAGCTAATGTCGCTGTAAATACTAAATTAAGTCAAAGGTGCCCTTCTTGTTTAGAGATTTCGATGTTTTTTAAAATAAATTGGTCAAAACGTGCCATTGCGTTATGGTATGACGGGAAAACTTTTCTTAAGCTACTAGTTGTCCAATCGACCTGTGTGATGCACCGCATTCTGGTTTGGGATACTTTATTGTACATATATCAAGTTCATACTACAATATATATATATATATATATATATATATATATATATATATATATATATATATATATATATATATATATATATATATATATATATATATA